CTTTAACTATGTATGATCCACCAATCAAACGATTCCTAACTAGGGTTGGGTATCGTTTGGGTTTTTTTCGATACCGGTGCTAAATCGATACTTTTAAAACGGTACCTACCTGAGCTCAAAGCTCCCCTCTCGCCCTGCAAACGAGAGGGAGCCCAGGGCTCAAGGAGCTTTTGAGCTCAGGGTTCTCTCCCGGGACAGCATACCAAATTTGCTTATAATCAACCATCAGATAAGTGTGAACTCTTGAAATGGTTTGTATTTTTTAAAGGGGTGGTCCACTATGATATCATATTTTAAACTTGAGTTGATGTGTAATGAAGCTGTGTGAACATAAACAACATCTCTGAATGTTATACGCTCAAAGTTCAATACAAAGCGAGACATTACCCTCTTTCACACATACAGAGTCTTTATGTGTGAACAGGCCCTTTTTGAAAATACCGGGTAATTCGTTCTGGCTATTTTCCGGAAAGAGAAGTTCTAACATTAGCGGTAATTTGCCGGAATGCTGTGCTGTGTGAACGCAGAAGGAAGATTGCCGGAAAGAGCGCGTTCACAATTAGAATTGTCAGATCTTTTCGGTATATTGGAATTGATGTGTGAATGGTCTTTTCCAGAAAAAATCGGTAACTTCCTCGCCTGTGTGAACAGCACTTTTTTTAAATAAAATTCTCTTTGTTAAACTGTAGAGTTTAATTTTCAACATCAAAAGTCGACAAAGCAGAGATCAACATCCCATAATACAATTCACAACCGTAAATAAATGGAAAGCACTAAACACTTAAACAGGTAATAAACACATCTTTTTATAGTGTGTGCAGTACATAGGGGACAGTGTGCTTGTGCTCCATTGAGGACGCAGCCTAAGCACATGTCAAAGGTCAATCGGTTGCTCGCTCTTAAGACCATGATGACAGACGGACACAAGAGGCCAATACAGTAAACATTTTCACAAGTCGAGCGGTCCTGACAGCACGTGTTTGTGTTTGCCTCTTTCTGAACTCCACAAAGACTGTCTTTGTGCATTGAGGCGTCTGAATCCATCTTTTAAAACAGTACCGTAACACAATCTATGCATCAATTCATGCATCGGGCGCACGTTTCGTCCCACTGGCAGAGCAGACGGGCATTGAGCCAATATCTTGACACAATGCACAACATCATTCACTTCTGAGAGCATACACAAAGACTGAAAGTGTGATCTCTTGTAAACCTGCTTCAGTAATATTTACTCCTTATTTTTAATAGTGTTACAAGCTTTTGACCAGGACTACAAAGCAGCCTTCCTGATCACCTTAGCAACTGCATAGCAATGCTCTGGTAACCCGCATCCCTGCTATTATAGAGGTGAGACACATACATTTTTCTATGTTATGCAATTAGTATGGCTAAAGTAAAAAATGGACTATCAGGGCTTTTTTTCAACCCAGGCTCATTCTGAAAACGTACCGCTATATGCATTTCTTGAGAGCACCAAATATGTCCCAGGAGTTGCGCATTTATTATTTTTTTTTGCAGTTTTGCAGTTTTGAATCCACCAGAGGTCGCTGTGTACGCTTTTTGAGATCTCAAATTCTCTCACGAGTGCCATTCGCGCCTGCTGTTCTTGCACAAATCCACCAGAGGTCACTGTCAACTGATAGTATGACTGACTGACTGACCCACGCCCTCCTTCCCTAAATCCAACCAATAGTGTTTTATAAAGCGATCTAAAAAAAAAGAAAAGCCCTCATCTGATTTTTACAACATTTTTAGATTTTACCACATTTTCACTCTGTTATTTACTTGTTCATTTTAGTTTTTTGTCTTCTGTTTTTGTCTTACCCGCTTTCTGGAACCATTCTTTGCCAGACTCGAACCCCGTTGTTGTGGTCAACTCCTCTCTGGTTATCAATTCTGCAGTCTGCGAGCCACTGGGGAAACTGGTAACAGTGAGAAAGCCGTCCATACGGAGGTAAGCGTTCAGTTGGTAAGCGTGAAAAAGAACGGCGTAACACCGCCCTGTAGTGTTTTTTAAGGCTTTTCTTTTTCTGGATTGCTTTTTAAAACTGTTGGTTGGGTTTAGGGAAGTGGGTGAGCACGGGTCAATTTGTGATTTTGAAAACACTATTGGTTAGGTTTGGGAAAGGAGGGTGGGTCAGTCATTCAGTCAGTCAGTCTGTCAGTTGACAGCGACCCCGGGTGGTTTTACGCAAGAACAGCAGGCGTGAATGGCACGAGAGAAATTTGAGATCTCAAAAAACGTATGCAGCGGCCTTTGGTGGATTCACAAAAACTGCCAAAAACCAAAAAAAAACATCTCCTGAGATGTTTTTGGCGCTCTTAAAAAATGTATACCATTATGTATAAATGTATAAAGTCTCTCTGAATTTTTTTTCTTTTTTAAAAATTCCCAATTGTTCTTTATCAGAGCAAAGAAATTTTCAAAGTATGTCTGTTAATATTTTTTCTTCTGGAGAAAGTCTTATTTGTTTTATTTACGCTAGAATAAAAACAGTTTTTAATTTTTTGAACACCATTTTGAGGACAAAGTTATTAGCCCCTTTAAGCTATATCTTTTTATTCTATAGTCTACAGAACAAACCATCTTTTACAATAGCTTTTCTAATTACCCTAACCTGCCTAGTTAACCTAATTAACCTAGTTAAGCCTTTAAATGTCACTTTAAGCTGTATAGAAGTGTCTTCAAAATGTCTAGTAAAAAAATTATGTGCTGTCATTATGACAGATAAAATAAACTAGATATTAGAAATGAGTTATTAACACTATTATGTTTAGAAATGTGTTGAAAAAATCTGCTCTCCGTTAAACAGAAATTGGGGAAAAAATTAAACAGGGGGGCTAATAATTCAGGAAGGCCAATAATTCTGACTTCAACTTTATATGTGTTTTCAGAATGAGCCTGGGTTAAAATCAACATAAATCTTCGATCGCTAGCAGTGTGACTCAATCACAATTTAATGCAATTGTTCTCCCCCAAAAAAACCATAATGTCGACAAAACATTCTGCACCATCAAAGGCACCTGCTGTAGCACCCAAAAGGCAAAGGAAGATGCTAACCATCGCACAAAAAGTTGGACTTCCGGACTTGCTAAAGGAAGCTAGAAGTTACATGTGTTAAAACAAGAGAGAAAAGTGTGAATGTTAATGCCTATCTGAGATATAGTGTAGTGAGGGGTTTTACAGCCTGAAAACATCTACAACAGTTATAAAAAATAAAGCGGACTACTTTGCAGATTTCACCTATTGCAGGCTATTTTTAGAACATAACTCCAGCGATTAATGAGGGACCACTATAAATAAAATAAATAATAATGATAACACTTTACAATATGGGACATGTAGCATATTTACTAACATAAACGAACAATGAACAATCGTGTACAGTTTTATTAATCATAGTTAAACATTTACTAATACATTAGATAAAGCAATCTGAGTTAACTTGAACTAACAATGAACACTAGTATTTTTACTAGTGAACATTTGTTCATGTTAGTAAATACCAAGTACAGTTGAAACCAGAAGTTTACACACACTGTATAAAAAGGCACAAAACCATTTAAAAAAGTCAGATGTTAATGTGACTAAACTTTTTCTCTTTTAGGTGAGTTAGGATTATCAAATGTGTTTCTGTTCTGCTTAATAGCAGAATAATGAGAAATATTTTTGAGATTTTTTTATAACTTTTCTTGCAAGTCAAGTTTACATACAATAAGATTATTATGCCTCTGAAAAAGCTCAGATGATGGTGTCAAGGTTTTGGAAGTCTCTGATTGGCTAATTGAAAACAATTGAGTTAACTGGAGGCACAACTGTAGAATAGCATTTAAGAAAAACCTCAAACACACTGCTTCCTTGTGTGACAACATGGGAAAATCAACAAGCCAGAATCAACAACAAAAATTCAATTTGCTAAATTACACTGGGGAAAAGAATAATATTGGAGACATGTCCTGTGGTCTGATGGAACTAAGATTGAACTGTTTGACCATAATGACCAGTGTTACACTTGGAGGACAAAGGGGAAAGCTTACAAGCCTAGAAACACCATGCCGACTGTGAAGTATGGGGACGGCAGCATCATGTTGTGGGGCTGTTTTGCTGCAGGAGGGACTGGTCCACTTCACAGCATAGATGACTTCATGAAGAAAAAACATTATGTAGAAATACTGAAGCAACATCTCAAGACATCAGCCAGGAAATTAAAACTTGGCCACAAATGGGTCTTCCAAACAGACCATGACCCTAAGCATACTGCCAAATTAGTTAAATGTGCTTTAAGGACAACAGAGTGAATGTTTTGGAGTGGCCATCACAAAGCCCTGATCACAATTCTATAGAAAATTTGTGGGCAGAGCTAAAAAAGCTTGTGCGAGCAAAAATGTGACCAATGGAAACCAATTCTGTCAGGAGGAATGGGCCAAAATTCATGCAAACTACTGTGAAAAGCTTGTGGAAGGATACCCAAATTATTTGCCCTAAGATATACAGTTTAAAAGCAAAGCTAAAAAAAAAATACCAAGGAAATGAATGAAAACTTTTGGCTGTCTAGAAATTAATAACAAATTCTCAAAAAAATATTCTGCCATTTAGCAAATGTAAATAATTTAGGCAATCCTAACGGACCTAAAATAGTAAACGTTTAGTATGATTTACCATCAGACATTTTTTTCAACTGTATGTGAATATAAGTGAACATATAATCAAACACTAAAAAAATTTTAGGTTCAACACAATTCCTTCAATCTTCAACACAGATTGATTAAGTTGTCCCCAAATAAACTGAAGGATTGTGTTGATTCAGCTCATTTTAAATGAACAGATTGAAACAGCAGCAAAAAATGAGGGAATAATCAACTTATTTAAAGCAACGGCCAAATGCATTTTCTAATCTGACACAAATTGAATATTATACAGACATTCTTGTAGGCACATCATCATTCATCTCTGAGCGCGTGGATTAATCACATGATGATGTGTGATATTTGGTACTCACTTCGCGGCTCGCGCGGTCCGTCCACTGTGACCTTTATGGCTCGGTGGTAAGTGGCCACTTGCGGTGGGTTCGTGAATACTGTGATTGTCAGCGTGAAGCTCTTTCCTGCAAAACAACAAAAAAGGTTCAAACCCGATTAATGCGCCGGACAAAGTGTCTCATTCACAGCACCACGGTCATTTGCATAGCTCTGCTGGCTACGGTGATGACTGTGGGACTTTAACTGCGAGGAACTCAAGCCATTGAAAAGGCCTGGGCGCTATGGACAATAACGGAATTAGTCTGAATGATGACCCGTGATGGCCACTGAATTTGTAATTATCAGTTGTTAGACATCACAGATCACAGAAATGCATAAAAATGAGCCCAGCTCTATATAATGGTTGACTCCATGGGTCTTGTCCAGCTGGCTTTGTAATATGTAACATATAATAATATAGTGCAAGAAATCTATCTATCTATCTATCTATCTATCTATCTATCTATCTATCTATCTATCTATCTATCTATCTATCTATCTATCTATCTATCTATCCATCTATCCATCTATCCATCTATTCATCTATCCATCTATCCATCTATCTATCTATCTATCTATCTATCTATCTATCTATCTATCTATCCCTCATTAGATTAAGACGTTAGTCTTGTTTTTTTAATCTGCCACTATGCTGACACATAGGCATTTGTAGCTCCACCCTCTTTTGACAAGATGTATGATCTCATTTAAATTTAAAGCGACAGTCATATTTAGGATCAAAGCTTTAAAGGCTCAGTTTCAAAGATATTTGTGTGGTATTTTGAGCTGAAACTTCACATACACACTCTAGAGACATCAGAGACCTACAGTTAAAGTCAGAATTATTAGCCCCCCTTGGATTTTTTTCTTTTTTACAAATTTTCCAAATGATGTTTAACAGAGCAAGAACATTTTCACAGCATGTCTGATAATATTTTTTCTTCTAAAGAAAGTCTTATTTGTTTTATTTCGGCTTGAATATAAGCAGTTTTTAATTTTTTTAGAACCATTTTAAGGTCAGAATTATTAGCCCCTTTAAGCTATATATTTTCTCGATAGTCTACAGAACAAACCATCGTTATACAATAACTTGCCTAATTACCCTAACCTGCCTAGTTAACCTAGTTAACCTAGTTAAGCCTTTAAATGTCACTTTAAGCTCTATAGAAGTGTCTAGAAAATATCTAGTCAAATATTATTTACTATCATCATGGTGAAGATTAAATAAATCAGTTATTAGAAATGAGTTATTAAAACTATTAGGTTTAGAAATTTCTTGAACAAATCTTTTATCCTTCAAACTGAAAAAAAAAAACGGGGCCTAGAATTCAGGGGGGCTTATAATTCTGACTTCAACTGTATTTTAGATCTTGTAAAAAGAGGCATAATCGGTCCCCTTTAAGGTGCAGCAGTGCTCTTATTTCATTAATGTATGTGTGCACATGGTGGCTTCATGATCTTTCATCGTACATGAGTCTAAATAACTTCTCCATTTTTCAGAGTGAATGTTTATCAATTTGTAAATCCTCAGCACAGGAAATCCTCAGATAGTTGTAATGAAACAGACTCAGCACTGATGATGTGTAATCTACAACACTTTCTCTGCACGTCACACAGGAAGAAGTGGGTGGAAAAGGACTGACACAATACGACAGACAGCTGCTCTTGGCTTGTGCATTAGTATGCATATCTTCAAAACTAACTTTAATTCCCTAACGCTTGAAATGGGGAGGGCTTTCAGTCCAACAATATTAGGTTATCAAGACCATTTATGCTCCAATTGCCATAAGTGAAATCCATTGCAAGTGTTTTATTGGATATGATGGTTTAATATAGCAGTAACACTAGAATTATGGTCCATTAGTTAATGTATTTACTAACTAATTATGAATAATATTGTAATGCATGTATTAAATCTATATATTTTTGAGTGTATGATTGTGCTTGTTAACATCAGTTAATGCACTGTGGGTTAACGTTATTTAATTTAAATAATGTAATACATGTATTACTAATTGTTTGTTCATATTAGTAAATAGATTACAGATTTTATCAATTGCTTTGGTGCATTTCTCACACTATTTGCACAACAGTTAATGCATTTATCTAAACCAGTGGTTCTCGAATTTTTTTCATCAAGTACCACCGCAGAAAAAAATTGTCTCTCCAAGTACCACCAAAATGAGCAGTATTGAAATAAAGTAGCGTAGTAGGCCCAGTAAAGCAGGTACAACTCTGCACAGTTAAAAAAACGTGGCAGATTACCTCAGAAATATAGGCTGTATGTCATATATGGCATATTATATACAAAATTTTTGCTAAATTTTGAAATATGTAGCATATACATGACATATTTTATTCCTCCGCGTACCACTAGAAGGAAGCCTGCGTACCAATAGTGGTACACGTACCACAGTTTGAGAACCACTGATCTAAACAATTAGAACAAACTGGAAAACCTAGTTGATAACCTGCAAAAGCGTGTCACTTGCTCACAATGGAGAGCTCATTCCTCAAAAGCAAGTATTGATGTCAATGAAAGTGTCCGTGTCATCAAGATGAAAAGTCCTGACAGTCAAATGGCTTTGTCATGTTTCCATTAGGACAGTTTACTCTGTACATTTATTCAATGCAACAAAGTCAGATTTTGGTGACACGTCCTGAAAATGCTAGGGCAGCACTATATATTAATTGCACAGCTGCCATTTTGAAAACTACTGTAAAGTTAGACATCACTGCATTTACTGATGTACCTGAGTACAAGACACTGAATATGTATGTTCCACATGTTTACTGCATTTGCTCGGTGTAATTCTAATTTATTCACAGCGTTGTATTGAATTTAGAATATTACTTCTCACCTATAAAGCTTTAAATAATCTAGCTCCTGTTTATCTAACCAACCTTCTGTCTCGCTACAATCCAACTCGCTCTTTAAGATCTCAAAACTCAGGGCTTCTGGTAGTACCTAGAATAGCAAAATCGAGTAAAGGCGGTCGAGCCTTCTCATTTATGGCTCCTACACTCTGAAATAGCCTTCCTGATGACGTCCGAGGCTCAGACACACTCTCCCAGTTCAAAACTAGATTAAAGACCTATCTGTTTAGTAAAGCATACACTCAATGCATCACCTAGCGGGTTCCACACAGGCTTCTGCATCTTGCTTATATACACGATGAACAGCAGCTACGCTAATTATTCTCTTTATTCTCTATTTTCACCTGGGGATACTCATCCCGAGGTCCTCAGATTATGCAGAGTTACTAACTGGATCCAAGACCAGCGACGAGATGATCCCAAGGTGTCCATATCCGGGACCAGGCCGTATCCTGAGCTGCTGCTGCGCTGTTGGTCATGGGGAGTGGAGAACATGAGTCTGATTCCAGCGACGCTCCAGGGACAGACGAGTCTTCGCTGAGGCCATCTTCCACCGAGGTGACTGAAGCTCTGCATAAGACTTTTGGCCAGCGGAGAAATTAAAATGGTCGTGCCCAACTGAGTCTGGTTTTCTCAAGGTTTTTTTTTCTTCACTCTTATCAGGTGAAGTTTTTTTCCCTCTCCGCTGTCGCCACTGGCTCGCATGGTTCAGGATTGGTAGAGCTACGCACCGATGAATTTGCTCTTCAGTGTTTGAACTCTCAGTAATGATTAAATCACACTGAACTGAGCTAAACTGAACTGAACTGAACTTAAACACTAAAAACTGAACTACACTGTTCCAGTTACTATGACCATTTATGTGAAGCTGCTTTGACACAATCTACATTGTAAAAGCGCTATACAAATAAAGCTGAATTGAATCGAATTGAATTGTGCAAAAGAATAAACACCCTTATTTACAGCAAACATAAACTCTCTTTGGGTAGAGCTGTGCACAACTGTAAACAATATCGCAATACATATTGGAACAATATACACAGGTCTGTAAATCATTCATCATTTTTCTATTTTGTTTTAGAAGACATTTTCAGGAAAAAAAAAGATTTAAACATTTTAATACAATTTGCTTAAAAGATTTTACAGTTTTTCTCAGTGGCGTTGGTGCATTTCTCACAACACTATTTGCATTTGCACAACAGTTCATATATTTCTTTAAACAGTTAGTCATTTGTGCACATCATACTAGCAGTTTCTCATTCCTTCCAACAAATTGCAAATGCTTTTGGACATGCATCAACTGCTTTCATACAACCCTCTGCTTTTTATAAGATTATCATTTGCTTATGTCATGTTGAATCGATCGTATGCAGTACATTGTTGTCTGGGACACAATGCCCACTGCCCCTCTGCCTTCATTGGCTCAGGATCCCCTCTCAACCCCCCAGCCCCCCATGCTATTCACTTTGCGATCGCGTTGAGCACCTGCCCCTGTAAGAGTCTGTGCACGGGCCTGCAAACAGAGTATAGTAAATGTGAAATGTGTGTTTTTTAAACAGAAGTGTATAGTTTTTATAAGAATGTTTAATTATGCAAAGCACCTGTAGTATTTTGACAATTGGGCGTGCGGATGTGCCACTTGTGTGTGCTGTTTTGAAATCACGGGCCCTGTTTTGAATATCGTGCTTAAGCATCCAAAAAAACTATAATAGAATGCAGAAATTCATAACATATTCTTTAAAATAAAGTCATGCATTGTTTTTGTATGTTAATTGATAACAACGTTGTCAAAACACTCAAAAATTAATGACAAAAAATGACTAAAATCACTGTATTCTTCATGTCAGGCCAATAGCTAGTGATTAGACTTTACACAACACACAAAGTAGTTTAAAACTAATTATTGCATAAGAAATAGTAAATAGAGAATTAAGTCTCTAAAACACAAAAGCACTGGCAGGTTATTATAAGTTTTTTTTTGTCCAAATCCACAAATCCAGACAGTTTATCCATTCAAACTCATTTATTTATTTTCCTTAGTCGCTGATTTATTAGAGGTCGCCACAGCGGAATGAATCGCCAACTATTGCAGCATATTTTTTACACAGCAGATGCCCTTCCAACTTCAACCCAGCACTGAGAAACACTCATACACACTCATTCACACACATACACTACGACCAATTTAGTGTATTCAATTCACCTATAG